AACAAATAATAATTTGAATTTAGGACCACATTTTTTTTTATTCGAATTTATAGCAAAAAAATTGTAATTCAATTTTATGCCGTAGTGGAATCCAAAAGAAATAAAGATCTCATGTTGAAGTTGATGCCTATTAGTTAAATAAAATCAAAATGAAAAGAAAAAACCCCTCTAATTGTATAATAAAAAATAAAGACACATTACCTTACTCTGAATGATTGGGAATTTTTAAGAAATTATAAAAAATTAATCTCTTTTGTTGCGTTGTTGTTTCTTACCCCACTTGGTAGACATTTAGATCAAGCCCACGAACCCGTATGGTCTCATGGTAGAATGGCAGCTTCTGTTGTAATGAATCTTCTGTAGTTCATAGTCCGACTTGGCTCCTTGACTCTACAAACATCAAGGAACGCTGAACTGGTACCCGAAACCTGTGGCACCGAGAGACAGATCACTAGACACTCGACCATACAGGCTCTTAATCGCTATTGTTTGTTACAAACATAAAGGTTTATCTGTGAACTTAACAAGTCAATTAAGTATAGGTTAAATTCTGTATGGTACGCACTATATCCAAAAAGTTCATTTTTTATTATTTGTTTGCAATTTTTTTATAACATTTATACTTCTAGATTATTTATAGAAGTTTTGGCAGCAAATAATGTAAAAAAAATATTCAACAAGACTAAAACAAAACTAAAATTAATATAATTAAATATTTATGAAACCAAGCGATAGTTGCATTTAAAAAGACAAAAAGACATATATGTGCCACTAATTAAGCCCAAATAAAAAAATAAATTTAAATAGCAAATACACATTTTTTTCATATTTGCTACGATTACATTGTAGTTTGAAGAGTTGAAAAATCCCATAAGGAAGGTCAATGCTAAACACAACAGTTAATTAACATGATAAGACTTACCAGAAATAATCTCGATACTTAGTCCGGACTTAAACCAAGCCGCTTCGGAGCCTCCCGATCCAAGTTCATTGCGAAAGAATGATTACTTCATTAAAGCCCAGGGAAAACTTCGTTCCAGCAAAGTTTTTATTCAGTTATTAGGAAGCGAATTGTGCGATATGCATTTATTCATGTTTTCCATTTGCATATTTGACAGGCAATCCCTTTTGGGTATCCCGTGTGATAGATGAAATTCGGAGCTGGAAGACTGCATTTTTCAAAAAAAAAAAAAAAAAAAAAAAAAACCGCAACGACTTTAAACGGATTTTTAAGTGAACGAAGATTCGCAGGTAACAGTTATAAATGGTGTGGAGGATGAGGCGAAAAATAATTGAAAAATATAAAAAGAAATATTTGTAAGAACTGCGAAGATCTTTTTTTTGGCAGGTGAGTTGGCGTAAATGGTACTCTTTATGCACCAAGAATATATGCTTCAAAAAGGTTTGCATGTGTGTGGTTTTTTCAGATAAAAAGAAGAATAATGAATGCATGTTTGGCTACCGGTAGAATAGGTAGCTCTTTATATTCTGGTAGCTCTTTCCAGAATATTTTATCATTTATTACATTTTCTGTGTATTTTAAAAGCATGATATTTTTTTAAAAAATCTTAAAAACTCTTTTAAATACTTTAAAAAAAGTTAATTTAATAGAAGTGTAACATTCTCGTTGGGCAAAATAAAGTATGTATTTAGAATTGCAAGTTTTTTCTCAAGGATATTGAGATTCTACAAATTTTTGCAGAATTTTTACAAATTTATCATCTGCTTTATAATAACATATTTGCAAATGTTATAAATAACAGAAAAAAATATTTCTTTTATTAATAGCATTTATTAAAATGGTGCAATTCGTGAAGATATTATGAAATTCCTATTGTTAAATTATAATAAAAAATACATAATATAATAAGACTTAATAGAAAATCCCATGTAACAATTTTAGGAGCAAATGTCAATTCAAAACATTAAATTCAGCCAACTTGAATTATAATGATTTTTAATATTTGCAGTTTAAACATAGTTAATAATAAATGCATTACTGTATGGGATAATTTTTAAACTAATTTTTAATCATTTTTATTAAAAGTTTTGAATAAGCAACTAAAATTTGGCAGTGAATATCATCTTGATTTGCGAATATCATTTAAGTATGATGATACTAATTCTTGTAGCAATAAATGACAAAAAGAGTATCTAGAAATGAGTTGAATGTTTATCTGAAATTTCCTGATAAATTTTTATATTTAATGATTAAATAAGAAATGAAAATGCAAGATTGTTCTAGATTGTCTTAGAAACTTTTATATCCATCACTTTTAGATGTCAGTGGACATCATTGTCTATTCTACTTTCCGAAATTATTGGAAAATAATTAGAGAATTAAGTGTGTATAGTTGCCCACATGTGATAAAAATGGTAAAGTAATTAAAAGTAAACTAAAGTATATAATATTGCGTAGTGTGAAATTATTATATTCGCTCCTACTTGTTGAGTTTCATAACTATTTATGTCATTTCTCAACAATAATGATTGATATAGAGTTATAAAATTGATAATAGTGATTGACATAGAGTTATAAAATTGATAATAGTGATTGACAGAGTGTTAAAAAAAAAGATACTAATGATTGACGGAGAGTTAAAAAATTGATAATAGTGTTATAATAGTTGTTGATAAAGTTATTGTAGTGTTAAAATTAATCACACCTTTCATATCAACCTGAAAACATTATTAAATAAAAATACGAATGTTTATATTTATATGTAATTAAAATAAATTGTATGCTAATTAATATCATAACATCTTAAATTAATATTCTACTGTATAATAAGAAAATTATACAGAATCTCAAAAGATTCTTACTTTGACGAGTTTAAAAAGAAAACAATGTATAATAAAGATATTATTTTTCTACAACTATATTTTTTAAATAATAGTTACGTTTGTGTGTGGTTTTAACGTTGTAGTTTGTGGTTTTATGTTCTTGTAATTGTATGCTTTTTTTACGAAACAAAAATATGCCCAGAAATTATAGCACATGGTACCTTTATATTTCAAACTACATCGAAAAACTTTTTAAAAAATTATTATTTTTATTATGGATTAGAAACTAATAAAGTAAGCAGTACTTATGCAAATCTAAATTAAAAATTAATAAACAATGAAATCTCTCCGCTGATGTTTCAAACTTTCATCACTTTTTTTCTTGTTGTCCTGATATGAAATTCATGTACTTACAATGATGCTTAACAAGCCGGAAATGAAGACAAAAATTGTTTTTTTTTACATCAATTTTGAAGATTTTGACATGAAGTAGGTAAACTTTAAATGGCTACAAGAACAATTTTTTTCTTCTATTTTTCTCTTTATTACCTTTTTTAACAAACTTTTTTTGGAGACGTTTTCTTTTTCTAACGAAATATCAATGACTGTCGAAAAGCATGTTGGAAGAAGAATTTTTAGAAAGGAATTTTTTGTTGCAATTTTTTTAAAAGTGCAAACAATAAAAAGCGATGCATAAAATAAAGGAAATGTAAGTAAGTAAAAAAAAAAAAAAAAAAAATTGACGAATAGATTTCCTATACTTTTTTTTTTTCCTTTAAAAAAGCCGATATAGCCGATTTCTTTATGTCTTTGTTTATTCTAACATGGAGGAACATCGGGGATTTTCTTTGACCAATCTAAAGTCTTTTTTTTGTGCAGTTTTGCATTAGTTTTGAATTACTTTCCTCGTAGCTCATTAGCGAGTCATTTATTCTTAAATTTCTTTTTTTCAAGTCGTTTTTTGCAAAGACTTTGAAGTGATAAACAGACTAATTTTCTTAACGTTTACTAAGACTTTCATTGGTGGAATTCAGTGAAGTGTAATGCACATATCCAAAATTCCCAACTATCATTGGCTAATTAGAGCATTAATGAACATTGGTTGTCTTCTTTATTGTGTGCAAAATTTGTGGTACTATCTTCATCGACATAAATAGTTTTATTTAATGAGATAGACATATTTATATTTGGAAAATATTCTTTTTGTCGACAGTCTGACCGTATGTTTCCCTTTTCTTAAGTAATATTAGCATTTAGAGAAATTACCACAAATACGTTTTATCCCTTTCTTTTTCAGCAACAGCTTTGAATTACTTTTCCCATAAGTCATTACGAGTCATTTAGACCCACATTTCATTTTTAAAAGATAGACTTCCTATCAAAAACTTCGAACAAAAAACACAAAATTACAACACTTCGAACAAACAGCTAGTTTTTGCAACGTTTACAGATATATACATCCATTTAACTCAGAGGAGTGAAACTTATGTCTCTTTTCATTTCTTCACAGACCTTCATTTACCTTGGGCTATGTAGACGACCAACAGTTTGAATGTTAGAGTGGAATATCAGGGGGCCGCCTGTAAACGACGAACAGCCCACCGATAAATGTTGGAGGGTGAGGGAAAATGGCTTCTATGAGAACTTTTAGGGTAAATGCTCCACGTTGTGACGAATGAGAGAAAACCCGGAAATTCCCACCAGTACACTTAACTGTCGATCCTGTCGAGATGCTTTACAAACCACACTCACCATCAATTCTTCTCTTTTCTGAAAGCAGTGACTGCAACAACGCCGCCAGAAAATTCGAATCTTGGTCTTTCTCCCTCTGTTCAGCAGTTCACCATTGGCATGCGAGGTTAAGCAACCTCATTTATCTGAAAAAAAAATTGTGCATTGACTTGTTAATCAATGGGTTTTGACGACCTGTTTTTGTTGTTGTTTCTTATCCCACTTGGCTGGCCAAGCCCACAAGCCCATATGGACTCATGATTGAAGGGGAAGGAAGCAGCTTCTGTTGTGAGGGAGCACCCGTAGGTAGAAGCCTGACTTTTGCTCCGTGACGCTCTTACAGTCATAGAAGACCGGGACCTACGGCTTAAAGTGGATTCCGAACCACTACAAACATCCATGGCACCGCCGGGATTCGAACCCGAAACCTGTGGCACCGAGCGCCAGAGCGCTAGACACTCGGCCATTCAGGTCCCAAATTTGCCAACGGCACGCAGTGTTCCCGGGTGGTCACCCACCCAAGTACTGACCGCGCCCAATGATGCTTAACTTCGGTGATCTAACGAGAACCGGTATATTCAGCATGGTACGGCCGTTGGCTTGACGACCTTCTGCAACATAAATGACTGTGGGTTCGATCTCCATTGGGCTCTGGGTACGATTTTTAAAAGGGTCATTCAATTTGTTAGAAGAACATAGGTTTGAATAACATAGGTTTATTTTCTTTTTTTCCATCTTTGATAAACATAATTAAGCCAAATATCTTATTAAATATCACCAAAAATGCATTATCTTCTTTTTTGTATCTTGTGAGGGAATGTAATTATTATTTTAATCGCGTCATATTTCTCCCTTTCTCAAACAAATACTCAATTGCCAGTTGTCAACTTTAAATAATAAAAAGAAATTTAATATCAATGACCAAATTATTTTATAATAGAAATACAATAAACTAAATAAAATTTATATTCTACTCCCCGTTTTACTGAAATTTCATTTAGTTTAAATTTTCACCATTGCCGATTGACCGTGGTATAGACAGCAAAGTACTATAGTTCAAAGTGATGTCAAAGCAAGTAGTTATTTGCATTGATAGAAATGTGAATCTATTCTCTTGAACTCGGTGCGAACCTTTCCTGATTTAAAGGCAGTGTTTGCTTCGTGACAGCGGGTTCATTTAAATCGCAAAGGTAAGTAAATAGAATGCCTGTAAATACCAATCCGATGCGGATACTTGCACAGTCAAACATGCTAATTTCTACCGAAAGCTAGGCACTTTATAGTGATGTGATTCATTGAGCATATGGAAATTGTTCCTCATTCCAAAATACGCTTTCCCCAAATACTTTTTAATATTCTGAAACTTTTAATTAACCTAATACCATTTTGATTAAATGTGGAAATGTATACCAGAAATGTGACCCATGCTGGAAATGTGAGAGCTGGTACAGGTCACATTTCGAAAACATTCAATATAAACCATTTAGTCAAATAATAATAAAGTATTAATAATATAATTTTTTATTAAATTATTTTAATTATATTTATCAAAAACCTTTTGTTGGATAATATTTGTAAATATTTCATCAATTAATTTTTGTTAATTTACAACACTTATCCATATTATTTAGGTCATTACATACTTGTTAACAATGTCTGTAATTATGCATAAATTTAAAGGAAAAAATATTTCTTTAGTAATTATTGCAAATAAATTATAATAATCGTCCTTAGAATTGTAATAATAAAGCTAATCATCAAATTAAGATACATTAAGCAATAAAAAGAAGTTATTATTATTTTGCTCTTTTACTACTAATTTATTTCTTCTATTTTTGCATTTACTTGATTATGTACAAATATTTTATCAATAAAAGTCATTTTTTATTATGGTTTAATAGATTAATTGGTTATTATATGGAATTAATATATAACTATTTATAATAGGTATGTTAATGAATAAGGTATATTTGTAATATTGTTTTCTTGCTGTCGAAGTTCCTACATATTTTCAATTGGGATAAGTAACTGGTTTTGAATATTTCACTATTTTAATCACACAATCTCACAGTCACTTTTCAAACAAAAACAAACCTATCAAAATTATGTAAAAAAATATTACGTATTTAGCAATCATAAATCTTAGAAACAATTATAATAGCTGATTATTTTCCTAGAACTTCATAAACCATCCTGTTATAAATCGTTTTTATATCTTTACCTCATTATTTTATATTGATTATTTACTACATCTTCATTTAATATTATTATGAAAAAAATAATAATTTTCTTAATCACTTTGTTAGTTCAAAATTTTCAGTTGTTATAAACATCTGTTTAACATATGACATAAATTAGTCTTTTTCTATTTCAAAAATTAATGATCAGTTTGATTTTCACTTATTTAGATTCATAAATTGAACATTCTTTCACCGTCAGCCTCTTTAGAATTGAAATAGCATTTTGGTTTTCTTTTACTATTGCCTCTGTTTAATATTCGATAATTCTAAATCTTTATGATTTAAATGTATCGGATGTTTTATCACCATAAAATGTTTCCCTTAGCAGTGATTAAAAAAGCAATAAAGGGACAAATGGATATCTCATGCAAGCACTTGTTTAATTTTAAACGTAGTTTCAAGATCAAGTGCTTGAATATTTAAAAAGCTAGGTTCCTTTTAATTTTATTCCAGTGATCTACTGATAAATCTAATTTAATGCTGAAAATGTTTGAGTATGTTATCGAAATTTGATTATCTAAAAGTAATTGTTCCTGGTATGGCAGATCATGGAGAAATATTGCTTTACTTTTAAATCAATGGCATGGAAATTCTTATTTTGATAAGCGGATCATTTACAGAAATGATTGTGGTAATTGGTTTGGTATGTTTAGATCCTAATTCATGTTCAAAAAATAACAGCAGTTACTTATCAAGGATTTTTTAACGTACAGATTTATTACTGAAATATATATGATATTTTGCAACTTTTAATATGCACGCTAAAACTATGCAATAATTGCACTAATTTTAAATACGTTGCAGTTTTCTTATTTTCAGCTACTCAAATTTTATAACATAAATTTACCAGCTTAGCCTTGATAAATTGTTCAGGTTATTTTATGTCAGTTTAGTAGTTTGTTCCTTTTTTTTGTTATAAACACTGTATTCAATCTTACCATAAAATTTTTTATGTTGTTTAGTACTTTTGATTTCTAAGAGAAAGTTTCCTTTTTTATTAAGATATTTTCAGTGAATGTGGTTGATATTGTTCAATACTTTTGATTTCTAGGAGAACATTTAAGTGAGTTTCAGTGTCTTTGTTATATTTGGACTGAATTTATATTTTAAATAAAGTTAAAATGGTGGACTTTTTTCCCGTCATATGATTAATATCATTAAAAAATATTTTATATATTTTTTCCTACAAAATACTATATGGTGAAATATCTAGGATCTACAAAATCTGTCCGTATAAAAAAAAATAAATTGAGTTTGTATCCCACAGAAGCAATTCATGAAAACAAATTCTTGAGAATAAATAAAGACATTCAAACGTATAAACTATCAACAACAAGGAAATATTTGTCTCAATATCAAAATTTTTGAGAAAATCAAAAATTTGTCTGAAAATTTGTTTTGCTTTATTAATGAAATAAATCAATGGTCTAATATTATAATATACAATTTCATTAAAATGATACAATTCATTTTCAACTGACAATGATACAATTAATTCAAAATTATACAATTTAATGTATAAATCATATAATCACTCTTGACACTCAATCACGCATAAATAATGATTTTTTTTTTAAGTTTCTTACAAGAGGTTTAATTTACTGATCCCTTTAAAAACAACTTAATAAACATCCTATCATTTACATACTTGCATGTTTACTTTCACTAAATATTATTTGTTGTTTCATTTAACATGATTAAGTTGTGTTTTTAAAATGAGTCCAAGTTAGACAGAAAGAAATATTCAGACATTAAAATAAATTCTTCTGAGCAGCAGCAAAGATCTATTTTCAAGCATTTAAGTTGTTTAATACTCGAAGTAGAGAAAAATCTTAACTTTCGACACAGAAAAAAAAACCAAACCCTGCCGCAAAATTAAAGTGCAATAAATCTTTATTAAAAGAGACTGAATACCAGGCATGTCACCATTAGCTTTTTAATTGCTTTTTAGTTTATAAATCAAAGAGTTTTAGAATTTTCTGAGCGAAACAGAAAGAAAATTGTTCTCTGAAAGAACTAAAGCTCTGACGGGGAATGTTGAGAATTTTGTGCAAATGGTTTTATTTTTGCTCGACAGCTTTTGCTTCCATTTTTGTACATGGCTGAGACGGACTGCATTGCTTTAAGTGAAGCATTAATTAGAAGAACGTCGAGCAATTAAAAACTCGATTCCTGATGAAAAATTTCATCTAAATTGTTAACCCTAGAATTAATTCCGATAAAGGATTAAACGAATGGCATATTGTAATTGTACAAAACATCTGACATATTAAGTAAAGTGTGTTTTATTATGTAAAATGTTTAATTTCAGTATTATTCCGAAAATAAAGAATTTCAGGTGTTTTTACAGAATCTTATGCAGGCCTATAATAAACTTAATTTACTTATGCACAGTTTGGACTGAATATCTGTAAGTATTTTATCTTGGATTTTTTCTCTACCAAATAGGGCCTGAATGGCCGAGTGGCTAGCGCTCTAGTGCTCGGTACCACAGGTTTCGGGTTCGAGTCCAGGCGGTGCTATGGTTGTTTGTAATGGTTCGGAATCCACTTTAAAAAGTAGGTCCCGGTCTAATAAGATCGTAGAGAGTTGCGGGGGCATTGTTATTCCGCGTCCGTGGCTTATCTTCAAGTGACACGCGCCCCCTGGGTTATGCAAAGTGAGTACGTCTGTGCAGCACTTGCCTTAAGGCATCCAACACCAAGGTGTCTGTGTTTGCCAGCTGCATTAGAAAGAAAAAAAAATTCTCTACTAAATAAAGGCGCTTTCAGCTTATATATTTATGATATACCTTTCTAGCATAAACACAGTGGCCCCAGCGCTCTGGTCTTTGGTAACACAGGCTTCAGTTTCGAATTCTGGCTGTGGTATGGTATTGGTGTGAAGTGGTGGTGGTTTTGAATCCTTTTTAAACAGTTGCTCCAGGTCTAATTAGCCTAAATTGTATAAAACTAAACTAAACTGGCATAAACACATGGTTTTCAGTGTTGTTTGTTTGCCGGATCCTATATTAGTCTCATATATTTCGTTTTATAAATTTATAGTTGTTTGAATTCCTAAAATGGGGATTTTTAAGTTTGATAATTTAAAATCAGCGAACTACTTGTTTATCTGCTCAGTTACTTTTGCGAGAAAAATTATCACTGTTATTTTAAGTTTAAAAAAAATACTGTTATTATGAAAGAATTGTCATCACAGCGGACAATAGTTAAGTCAGTTCCAATGCATCCCTATATCGATAAATCACAACAGATTGTATTGAGTTTAAACTTTTTCAGACGCATTGGCCGCATTAAACATCAGCACCCTTCATTTAAAAAATAAATGAAAGAATGATAAAATACAAGAGATGTATTA